GCACTCTCGACTAGCATCGGCATCGTCGAGAGGGTTGCGTTAATCATCGATTAACAGCGATCCATTCGCACTGACAACCGCTCGACGATGGTGACTCAACCGATGATGATTCGCTTTTTTATCGTGGGGAGCGGAAATGCAGAACGTTCCTAGCTCGTTACGGATGGATTCCCACTCTTAAGTATTATATCCAGGAAGACCGTGCAAAAAATTAAATATAACAGAATTTTTAGAAACAGATAAAATATATAATTTATGTTTTTTGCTAATTCTATTTAATTCATTATTATCATATATATTTATTATTATTTTATCCATGTTTTATAAAATATTATAAATAAAATCTTTATCGAATTATAAACTTCCTGGAATTTCGTATACATCTATCATAGGTATCCCCCCAAAAAAAATATATATATATTTTAGATACATATGATAGAGATATACGAAATTCCAGGAAGTTACAATTCGATAAAGATTTTATTTATAACATTTCATAAAATATGGATAAAGTTTAAAAAAAAATATGTAGCACGTAGGTACTGAAAGAGTTGAGAGTACGGTAAGAAATCGAATGGCGTAAGAAGTTGGTTAGATAAAATAAAATAAAATAAAAGCAGCTCTCAATACGCCGAAGTACCAAGCGGCAGCATCAAGGTCTTTTTGTCGGCACCTTCACGGCCTGTCAAGCATTCCGAGAAGGATGAGAAAATAACGCGCGCTAAGCCAAACTTGGTCGCAACACCAGTGGTATAAATGAAGTCGATGCGCTGTTATAATATTTCACATTTCATATTTTATAAAACAAATTTGTGAGAGCGTCTACATCTCCAACCAGTCCTTTTATATCAGCCGAAAAATAGAATTCGTTTCGTAAAAAAAATAATAAAAATCGTTAACGGTTAAAATTAAATTATATTTATGCGCGCAGCTCTACGAGAATTTGCTGTCAGAAATGATTTGTAACTCAGGGAATATAAAATCGGATTTACGATTTGGAGGGGAACAGTAATGTACGACGCATCGAGAGGCTATATGCACATCTCGTTGACGTATAAAGATTATACGTACATCTCTATTCCATCTCCGCCGCGAGTGCGATTAACCACTTTCCCACCACGTTACATATCGCGCGAGCATTCTGACATTACTCATTTGCAGCTGGCGGCTTTTTCACGCAGCTGTGAACGCAATGCGCCCTTGCGCGAAAGCTCGGTTAGATTCAACTATCTCAGAGATTTATTTGATATATACATATGTTCATAATATAATTACATCGGAGTGTCACATATTTGTTTTCCTATATAGGATATTCCAGACCAATGGAACTTCAGGGTATTATAAGATTGAATTTGGAACAAAAAAGTTCCTATAAACATAAGTCCGGAAACGCTTCGTTAAAAAGTTATAATTAATAAATTCTTTGTAAGTAATTAGTTATGATTAAAATTTAATAAGAACATTTTTATATTTGCGTTTGCAATATTTTCACTACGAATGTAGTGTTTACAAAAAGACTATCGAAAGGTGATTTTTTCAAATTTCTGCTTTTTTCATTATTTTGAGCTTATTTTTTTTTTTTTTTAATGCCTTATCGGAATTAAATGAAATTGGTATAATTTAGTTTGTTATTTAATTACCCATCAGATTTATTTCGTTACTTTTTTCAAATGAATGAAGAATTTTGAAGCTATTTTTAAAAATCATCAAAAAACGTGATTTTTTAAAGTTTATTAGCTACAACTTTTTAACGTAAAAAGTTTTCTGTATTTATAGAAACTTTTTTATTCCAAATTCAATTTCTTATAAGACTCTGAAGTTTCATTGACCTGACTTGAAACACCCTGTATATTTCTTCTCTTCTTATATATTTTCTTTTCAGTTTAATATCGAATATATCGTATATATAATATATGAGAGAAACATTTCTTATTTTTATGTGATATTTTCCGACCGATCGTTTGAAGCTAAAACGAAATATGCGAGAATTTCGCGTTGCGATCGATTCAACGTTAAGGCAGACAGCCTTTAAATCCAAGCATTTTTGGAGGTCTAACGTACGTGCTCGCCTCACATGATCGGAAAGAATAAATAAATCGTAATGTAAATCCCCATAAATCCTTCGTACGGCCGCCATCGCATTTACATTCAACATACACCCATAAATTTTTATCGACTGCACTGACGAACTGGCGATTCTCTCCCCCGAGTCCAACAATGGACATAAATTCCACGGCGCCCTTTGTCAGGATACTTCCATTCTCGCTGGGGACCTCCTTTTTATACGCGAGGGCGATTATTTATACTCGCACTATCCGAACTGCAGCGGAACCGATCGCGACGATTCATCGTTTAATAACCTTCGTTATCGGAAAGGAATATTCTCGGATTAAAATTTAATTTAAACGTTAATCGCCAGAGATACGTATGTTCCATCGATTTCGCAAACGCTTCGCTATTCAAAATTTTTAAAATGATGAGATCTTATCAAAGTGTTCGCGCTCGATTATCGATATAATGAATCTACTCTCGCGCGCGTGAGCAGATAAATTAGAAATTTTTCTACTTTATCGTGACAGTCCGTACCTTGAGCAGTATGCTAATCATTAAGAGTTGCGTATTTGAAGAATAAGAAGGAGCGGTGACGATTGTCATCTTATTTACAATGAATAAAGTCACCGAGGTGCACGCGTGACAATTTACATAATCGCGCTTACATCTCAGAAAGGTCGTCGATACAATGAAACTCTTTACATTGCGTCCTTATCAGTGTAAACGTGGTGCGACTGTCACGCTGTAATTTTCGCAACGGAGTTTACAATGAAATTCTATTTTACGAGGAATATTAGAATCAAATAATTTTACGGCCGCTCCAAAATATTCTACTGTTTTCTTTATATGTTCTATTTTCTGTCATAACGATGAGTGCATCACCTTGAAAAATGTGTCAAGAACAGTGACCAAATAGTCTGATAGAAAATGAGAAAATCATTTAAAATAACATGAAAAGAGCTAAATATAACAATGTGAAGCCAATGCAATACAGATTAATACATCTCCGTTAAATTAAATACGTAATCCTTATCATAGTCGCTTCACATTACACAATTTTCTCGATAAAGTTATCGATAATTATATCTATTTATCGATTTTCTATATTAAAAATAAAATGGATCCTGCATGGTCCTTTGAACATTGTTGATGTTTTTACAATTCATATCCATCACAATCATTAATGATGCGACACCAAAAATTATTTTCCATTAGAAAATTCAAATCACATATTATAAATAAAATCATACAGCATTACAATTCTTATTTCTCTATTTCTATATTAATATAATTAAATATATTACAAAATAAATATATAGCGACCTTTTATATTTTGAAATGATTATATTAAGTGGGAAAAATTTTAAGTATATATCAAACATTAAAATTAAAATTATATATATCGTCTATAGTATAGCAATATAATATAGAATACTTATAAAAATATTGAAATTTTTAAAATTGCAAAAAAATAGTATTCAGCAAATTTTTAATATATAAATTTTGTATAGAATGTATTTGACATATATGAGACATGAAACATAAAACATGTATTATACAGCAACCAGTTGATTATTAGTTCAAATACGATTTGCGGAGCTTGAGATTTGCTCTTGGAATAACATCACGTATCACGACACGATATTATAACGAACAAAGGAATTCCATCCGTGGTTATAGAATTCCCTGAAGAAACAAACGACGCGGATCATCTCACCCAAACGACAGGTATATGTATTGCAAACGAAATCACATGCAATGACGTCAGTCACGTTCCGTGACCATGAAAGTGCAATAAATGGTGTGTAGTATAAACAAAACATGTCAAACGATTCATCGATCATATGAGAACGTGTCATATGTGTGTGAGTCGCGTCAATTCCTGTGTCATTAATCAATCACGCAAAAATTTGTTTCGTAAATTAAAAATAATAAATATAATGAATCGATCTTATTAAATTTATAAACGCACACACAGTATTATGTGTATGTGTATGTATGTATTTGATATTTTCGTAAATCATTGCACAATTTGTTGCTCAAATATAAATATATTTCTTAAATATTATTTTAATGTACACTGAAAAAAAAATTATTAATTTGACTAAATCCGTTCAACTAATTACCATTTTTTAAATTGAAATATTTAAGTTTTTAAGTCAAATATATGTCTTAAATATATATTTAGAAAGAAAAATACAAATATGTAATATATATATTACATATTTGAAATGACAAAGATATAAACAGAGATGTAAAAAATAATTTATAACAAAATGGAGAAAACAATTTCTTATCTGAGCGCACAATCATTAAAAAGGAGATTAAACTTTCACAATCGGCGCAATCAGAAACGTAAACCGCAGATGAAAGAGAAATCGTAGATTTGAAAGTTGTATATATGACTGTGCGCTCAAAAAAAAATAAAAAATCACGTATGGTTGCTGCCATGTGAATTTGGCGCGAATCACACGGATTTCATATCTCTTCATATTTTTGAAGGAACTATATGTGTGAAATTAACACAGTAAAATAAATATAAATTTCATTTCAGACACTGAGAAAAAAAAACACGTATGATAAGCGAGGAAAACAATAACAAACGCCTTATAAATGAATAAAACGTAGAGGTAAATCGAACGGCCTTGAAACACACAAGCGCGGGATTATTTTCTCCCTATAACGTCAACTTCATATCGTACGATATTCGTTATCAGTACTATTCATACCGATACTACGAATTGAATCAAACGAGATGATAGATGACAGTTAATTACAAACGAGCATAAGAGCGACTGGTATCACTGTAATAGTACAATATGTACATATATAACGATCGACGACACGTAGACGTCGTCGAAGAAAAAATAAGAAGCTAATGACATCCGCGTACATTAATAAGGACACGCACGTAGCGTGTTTAATGAGAAATTCACGGCATGACTCACCTTGACTGTCGGCGTACGCGGCAGGAACGACGATCGCGAACAGCAACACCAAAAAGACCAGCACCAGTTTGCACCTCACTGTCACACTGCCACCGTTGCCGCCGCCGACGACGGCGACGACGACGCGTCGGGAATCGCGCGCCATGTTCCTGAGACTCGGACACGGCTGGCTGGTTCCTAAACGCCGTTGGCCGCGACTCACGCGAACGTCATGACAACACACGCTCCTGTCACACACGCCTTCTTCGCACGTTGGCTGTATCGCGTCTGTCGTTCGCGCGTGCACACACCACACTCTCGTTACCGACCACCCAGCCCGACTGACACCGTTCCGTTCGGTTCGCGCCGACCGTCGTGACAGCTCTGAAGTCGGCCGCGACCCCCACTCCCGCCGTCGACATGGCGGCGAGAGACGAAGCGGCGCGGAAATGGCCGAGCACGCACGACCGCGAGCGCGCTCGAATTTAAATACGCGCGCAATCATTTGATCACTGACGATGTGATTTTTGTAATTAAAAAATTGATTTTTGAAATTTGGAAAAAGATTTTCAAGGTTCACACGTCGAGAGAGAAAATAAGATGTTGATAAATCCGATTCCTAGCTACTACGATTTTCCATTATCTGAAAGAATATTGCATTTTTATTTTTTAAATAAAGCACATAGTATTAAATGTAAAATATAAATACACATGTTTTTAAAAATTGGACTTATCGATAAAGTTTGTGCTTTGTATCACATATTTTAATATGTGAAATAAATATATTAATCATAAATCCATGCTGGATAAAGTTCGTGTTTGTGTATACATATTTTAATGCAGGAAATAAGTAATAAATATATTAATCATAAATTTATGTTTGCATCGAGAAACTTTGTACTTGTATATACATTTTGATGTGTGAAATAAGTAAGAAATATATTAATCGATACAAAATTATTCTTTTTTTTTTGTGGTGCGATTATATATTTTCGTATCATTGCTTTTATTACATAAAGTTATTTGTGCAATGAACAATAATCTCTTCAGTTCTACAATAATATTTAAAGAGATTGAAAGGAATCTTCAAATACAGCGACAACAAATGGTTCCGATGCAAGTATTGATCAAACTTTATGGATGGATGTTTTTGTTTGAATCCACAACGTACTGTAGCAAGTGAGACTTTCTAAATCAGCCGAAGGAGGAGTGTTATTTGCTTCCTACGATGGAAAATGTGCGAAAAGAATTGACGAAAAGGATCGTAAACGAATGTAAAGTGAAAGAAACACCAGTAACTAAGGATTTGGCCTCGTTTTTGGTAATTTAATAATCAAAGAAATATTATTGAAATGCACTTTGTCTCGAAGCAACGTATAAACAATAATTACAATTATTGTTTCTAAAAATAATTCTAGCTTTCCCTGTATCAATTAAATCCAATATATCGAATAAAAGAAAACGAAGAGGAGAGCAATGCGAGAGTAACCCAAGCGATAGTGGAGAGGCTATGTGACCAGAGCAAACCCAGTCTGGTAACTTTGAAAAATCAGCTGTACTTTGTCAAGCATTATCATGACAGAGGTAAAAAGATTTCTGATTCGTTATTTTTACGTTTTTATTTTATAAATCACAGTGTGTTATGCGCGGTTTCACACTTTCCCCAGACGAAACTGTCAAAAAGCATCGGTTACGACTGCATCAAAAGACTGAACCTCTGGTTGCCGAAATTTGCGAGACTACTAAATTGGAAAGTGGGAAGGATACGGAAAGATATTATCATAAAATATTGGCAGTGATAACGCTGCTAAGTGGTCTCGGAAGCCCTACGGTCCCTTCAATTCTAAAGTATTTCGCACATTCATATGATTTAATAATTCATTATGATTTAATAAAAATTTAGAGTTGAATAAAATCAAATAAAATGATGTATTTAGTTTCTCATCTTCTCGATCATAAAAAAATTTCTTGTGTCAATTATCACGTTACTATTGCCAATAAATGTAAAGATAATTCTCATCTATAGGTTGGAATTTGCACGGATATTATATTTAAGAATGATTGATTAAATTATTATTATTATTATGCTCAAATCCTCATAGAATCTTTAATGAATAAAGATTAGTATGCCTGATAATATTGCAAGACTATAATATTTCACATTAGAGAAGTTTCGTTGGCGCTGCGGAGCGTCTTGGATACTTCCGAGTTGCCTCATTATGTGACTTTGCCAAAACGGGAGAAAGAGGAACAGTTGATGGAGTTGATGTGCATAATTGCTGGAATCCGTTTATTTAATAGAGATCGTCAACGCGGCGGCGAAGGGATCGACGATCGTAAGAGCATGGATAATAGTTAAATTCGAACGATATTGAGCGAAATAGAAAAAAATATATGCACGCTTTTGCTACGAACGATTATAATGATAATTGCTTTCAGTGCCCAGCATCCTACAAGAAGCTTTAACGAAGACCCGTAACTCTGTCCTCGAGCTATTAGAGCCACTAATGGCCAAGGTGTACAAATTTACATCTATTCTGGAAAACGCGATTATAAAAAAAGCGACGCCTGATCTGGAAGAGCACATCAAGTGGGCTATCGAGATGTTAACGGCTAGTCGTCAGCAAGAGATCTACATCCGGTACCTTTCGAAAGAGGTCACGTAATATTAATTATGCAATTGATATAATTTTGAATATGATATCGTTGTAGAAAGCTGTTGAGCGATGTGGAGCGCAGCGAGAATGCAGTGAAGACTCTGATGGACCGTCTTCAAACGCGACTCTTCAAACTGTACGATACTGTTCGATACAAAACAGCCATTCCCACTGCTGAAGTCTACGTAAATACGACTGCTAACGTTACCTAAAAGAATAGATTGTAATTGACGCACACAGCATAATTACAATACTTTGTTAACATTCCGACTTTTATTATATTTCCAGGAATTGAAATATTTATAGAATCTTTCCAATTTCGCTTTTAACATTTTCGATAAAATTTGTTTTCGTATAAACATCATAGTCGTTCCACATAAAGAAATTCTCTCATTCGCAGTTTTTTTTCTATTAGCAGAATTTTTATGTGATGAAATATAATGATGTATAATCTGCCTATTAGCCACAATTTATTGATCTAGCGGATATATGGATGGGTTTGCAAGATGAGGTGATCATTTTGAGCAGCATTAACAATTTCCTCTGGGAATTACAGAATTTGAGTAATAAGGTATCAATACATTCATTTATAATATTTATTTAAACATATTTCTTAAAAATATGTATTCAGCATGATATATATTTGCGTCATAGACTGTAAATGTCTACGATCAAAAGCTGGATGACATAGCTCAGGAATTGGATATTCTGACTGACGCTGAAAGATTGGAACGTTCTATGGGCAATTTAATAAGTAAAGATTATTCTGTGGAATCTATATTTATCAAAAATTGTGGCAGATATATTTAAAGATAATTAATTAAATTATCGGATTATATTATCGGATGTTTAAATTAAGATAAGTCTTAAATTAAAACGGATATGTTTATCCTTTGATTTTATTTTGACGGTATAAATATTTACATTTTTACAGCGGAATGTGGAGAATGTTTAATATATTATCCAAATGTCACGAAGGATTTCGAGAAGATTAATTTAGAGGTAACCGCAGTAGAATAGTATTTATATATATATTTGTATAATTTTATAAGATTAAAGAAATGAAATACCCTTGTACATGTCAAAATATTTACATGCAATTTTATTTGAAAAACTGTATCAAATAAATTTTCACGTAATTAAAAAAAAAAGAGTATATCAGTTTCTAGGATTTTGCGCATGGACGTTCGCCACAGCCAAAGGAGCTTTAATACCGGGAAATCCGAACAACGGTGTGGCAAAATGGCGAGGAAAATTTTACGCTTTCAAATCGCCCGAAGCGGCAGCTAAATTCGGAAAAAATCCAGACAGGTACTTTTGTTTGTAAATAAAAGTAATCAGTGGTTTTTTCAGCACCGACTGTTAATAGGTACGTTTACGAGGCGCTCAATTTCGTTCGCAATCATCCGGAACATATACATCTGTTCCAATTACACGAAGAAATTGAAGCCATGCAAAGTCAAGAAGAGTGAGTTGATGATCATAAAATCGCACTTCGTAGTGTATTTATCTGACACTGAGATATAGAATATTCATTTTCCACAAGAATCACGGAGAAAGGATTGCAGTTAAAAGTCCGTCATGATCAAAAGATTCAAACGGACGTTCACATATTACCACCTTACATCGATAAAGATTATACTTCCAATATTTGGGAATTGAGACGAAGAGCTTTGCATTTGGTGAGTCGACTTTTATTAGCCTTACCAGAAAATATTTAATCAGTGAGATATATTTTTCTATGTTTCAAACATACATTTTCTTTCATTTAACAATAGTAATTTTTTAATAGTACCCCACATTTTAATTCATATATAATTTTTAATATTTTGATAAATTATTTCTTGTAAAATGTCATGATGTATTGCAATATATATGTAATATATTTCATGTGTGTGTTATGTAGCACTTTGCTTTGTGTTTTTTCTTAGCTCTGTAGATGAAAGATGTTTGATTTCACACATGATAATTTTTCAGGCAAACATAAGTCGATGCGTTACTCGTAGTACGCAGACATTCAACTCACAAGGTGTTTACGTACAAGCAACTCCGCCTCAGGATAAGGAAGTTCAAACCAGAAGAGATAACTATACAAACACAAAGAATCTCAAAACGTTCATATTTGGCTTGCGAGGCAGACGGGATGATAATCAACATGTTGTATCGTTTTTGGAAGAGGAGCTTGAACACTTATAAAAATTTTAATCTCTCAATTTCTTAGATACTTATGTGATCTTGTATACATATAAATGTTTTAATGAGTGACACGCACGCGTGATACGTATTAATCACAGAACAAAAAATATTACAGCATCGTAAATAATCAATAATACATGAGATTACATTTATTTAGAACATTAAAGGATATATATTGGGCAATGTTTAGAGGAGTACTAGGAAATAATTGAAATAAATTACACGCAAGACGCAGTTTAAAAAAAAATGAAAGCAATACTCTTTTTAATGACATTTCCAAATACATTTCACGGAACATTACAGCTTAAACCATTTTTTTTTCTTTTTAGAAAACACAATATTAGCATTATAATTCATCATTCCGTGCGCACATATTTTTCTCGCGTATGTATGCTTTCGTTATCGCAAACTGTAGGATTTCATTCGTGTGGCTTTCCTCGTGGTTTAGGCCAGCATTTCTTTAATTTATATTCAAAATACACGAATTTTACACATGTCGAAGCTCGAACAGACATATGCGGTTAAGATTCCGCACCTCGCTCCGTGAGCCTATTTTACTTCCTACACTTCAACATTGCGCCAGTGACCGCTGCTCGCATTGTGACTTTTAATGTGCTTATATCGTACTTTTCAATGAATATATTGTTTTACCATTAGATCTTAAATGTTAGATTTTCAATTTTTACACCAAGAAATCTATATTACGACAATAATTAGTAATTACACGATAATACAATTAAACTTTGCTTACATTTTCATGTGTATAATGTAGCTATTATACAGAAGAGGTACAGGATGATTTTTCGCATAGCTTCTCTCTTTATTTTTCCGCATTTCTTTTAAACATCCACACTTTTTTGAGATGAAATCTATCATTCTGTTGCATCCAATATTACCAAGAAGCATTTTTTTTAAAAGGGTAAAAAGAAAAGACAAAAATACCATATGGTTTTTTTAAGATAATTATTGATATAATACAAAAAAGATGGGAAAAAAATTTGTCTAGTCCATATCTTAAATATATATTGAAAGCAACTGTGCCACACACCAATGTGATAAATGTGTCAGTTAAAATAAAATAAAACTTCTCAAAAAAAATCACTTTCAAATTTAAATGTACTCTCTCTCACTTTTTTCTAATTCATTTAAATGTCATTATTATAATGGTGCGTCGTGTTACCGCGTTTGGAATAAGATATTATTATTAATCATGATCATACAAATAATATAACATTTATTTTGAATTAAATGACTTAAAACCAGCTTATTGACTATTGGCCACTGTAATGTATTCACATTTCGAAATCATCTGAACGTCCATGGTAATAATTGTCCCAATATTAGATAAAGTCATCGGTAATCATTGGCAATTATACTTGTTGCACATTATCAAAACGTTATTCCTAACATTTGTTGGAAGTCATATCTATGATGCTTATAGGGTCAAAGTACGTTATTGTAATAACCAATGGGACAAAACGATTACGATGGGCGGCAGAATACGTCGGAATGGTGTAAACATGGTCTAAAGTCTTAAGTCGCAAGAAATACGTTGTGTTTCATGTATATATATATATATATGTATATATATGTATCGTGAGAAAGATGGAGAGGTGCACGAGACGCACCTTGGAATATGTTATATATGTATATAACTTGTCAGAGATCGGGATTGAAATATGATTTAATCTACAAAGTGATTTTTGAGGTATTTCATCATACCAAAAGTTCTGAAGCGCTTTACGCCGATTACCTTCATTAATTCCTCATCACAAATTGCGAATTGTTTATTCTTAGGATCCTGTAAAAACCCCAATCATTTTATTAGCAACTTTTTGTAAATATTTGACATATATATATATATAGCTAGTATGTGACTTCTAATGTACGACCAAATTGGTGAAATAAAAAATGTCTCATAGTATGAAAAATTTTAGATAAGTGATGACATCAATAATGATACTTACATAAAGATTCCTTTCTTTAATGATACTCCATACTTTTTTCACGACTTCATGTCGAGCCATTTGTTCTGCGCCGACAACCGCGGCGAGTTCTGGAGATAGCGTGATAGCGCGTGTATAGCCACCACCCTTGCCTTTGCTACCGCCACCTTTCTTTGCTGTACTTCCTGGAGCCTTTTTGTTTTTACCCCAGTCTTCGTCACTATCACTATCGCTTCCCTTCTTTTTTCCTTTCTTTCCAGGCTTATCTACAAAAAAGTTGACATTTTTTAATAGAATCTTAATGCTAATAATTACTTAATAATAAAATAACAATATATACATTGTCGAATAATTAAGTTTCGAGACTCGCTTCGCATTTCCGAACGTTTGATCAGTTTGTGCTGCCATTTTACAATTAGAGTTATTCACAACTCAATACTCGACACATGGTACAAGTTTTAAATTTGGTCCAATAGTTAATGAAATACAGTAACGCAAAGTCGTGTTACAAAATTTTGTTTAAAAATTGGTGTAATGGAAGTAACGCTTGACAACACGTCAACATTGAACGGATCAAACATTCGGAAATGCGAAGCATGTCTCGAAACTTAATTGTTCGACAGTGTATAACAAAAATATATTTTACTTTTTTTGGGTGCAACTTTAGGTTTCTTTGGGCTATACTCTTCGTCGCTGGCATCATCATCACTAGCGCTTTCTTCATCATCGGAAGAACCCTTCTTACGTTTGTTGGGAGCCTTTTTAGCAGGATTTCGCTTGGCTGGTTTCTTTTCTTCTTCCTCCTCTTCTTCTTCGGATCCTTCCTCCTCCTCCTCTTCACCGTCTTCAGATTCTTCGCTAGCAGCCTTTTTCTTTTTCTTTCCTCCATCTTGTTTTTCTTGAAGACATTCCATGACTAAATCGTCAACTTCTTTTTTCCTATAAAGAAGAACATAATTCATAAATATATGTAAGATATTTAAAATAGGAATGTGTAAACTAAAATGTGCATGTCAGAGGAGGAACGAGGTGGTAACTTATATCTAATTATTATTTCAGTTCCACTCAGAATTCCTCTTTTTTTTTCTTGGACGTTGAGAGACTCTCTTCTGCATTATTTTACAATGCACAAGTGCCTATTATATGTCCGCTTTCAGCTTTATTCACTTCTAATGATAACATGTATATTGAATTGAATGCTTGCCATATTAAAAGATAAATTATCGTAGTAATATTTCATTCAAATCTATCATGCATATGATAGGTTAAGCTAAATTTGATAAAGAAACGATTCTCTTCTCTACTTGAAAATACATATCTCATTATAAGTATTGTTTTAAGATATGAAGAAAACAAAGTATTTTATAGTTATCGTTTGCATTTTTATATCTACACTATAATATTTTATTAATATACAACTTATAATTAAAGTTGATTTACACTGACGATACAACAAATAGAATATGTGATATAAGAAATGTTTTTTTATATTATATAAATATATTAACACAAACATAATTATATTAATCTTGCATATATATGAAGATAAAAACAAGGAAGAATAGTGATTTGGGTTGGTGAGAAAAAATAGTCTTTATATGTCATTACAAATTTACTATGAATAAATACCTAATAAATATGACTAAATACTTTATATGTGATAGCGTCTTGGATCCTATTATATAATATAAATCTACTGAAAATTAAAATTGCTATCATTTCTGCGTCTGTTATTTTTTATATATGTAAACGCATGTTGATTTTTCGTATCGCATAACATAAATTGGCTTTTATAATGACATAAACAAAATTATTTACATTCGTAATCACATTCCCTACTCATCGCTTACCTTTCTATGAGGTCAATATCAAGTTTCTCTTCGATTTGTTGCCTCACTTTTTTAGCAGACATTGTAGTGAGATCAGCATCCTTGAGGATAGCTAAACAAAATTAATAAACATTTTATCAATATGTGTGTCAAGATGTTTTACCCATTTTATTTAACATTTATTTATTTATTATTATTATTATTTATTATTATTTCATTATTATTAAGAAAAACTAAAAAAATATGCAAAGTTTTTAACACTAATACCAAACATAGTCATATATTACACAATTCTTGTTTGAACCATCAATGTTAATTATGAAATATGACTCACAGAATGTTTTCTTACAGAAACATTTTATTCGTCAGAATTTCTATTATTATTTGAAAGGAACAACGCAAAGGAGGAGAAAAAAAAAAACACACGGCAAAAGATAAATTAAGAAATATATACGCTCATTTATTTCTTTCCCGATATCTGCATTCAAAAAAAAAAAGCGAGAGTATATATGCGTCGCCATTCATTTTTCCGCGCTTACGTACATGGCGCTTCTGGCGTGTGTACGTGATCTGGGGTATAGTACGGTTTCCCGCGCGTCGGGGGATCTAGTAAATATCGAGCGCAAATGGCCGCCGTGGCGCGCGCCGGCCGTACCGGTCATCGCCGATCGGAGACATTAACGGAAAGATATCTCTGCAAGTACGCGACGAGGCGACGACGCGACGCATGAAACGGGACGCGGAGGGATTTTTCTCCGCGCGACGCGGTCAATCGGCCGGCGCATTGATTCCGGAAAAGATCGAAAACCGCGAGAAGACGAAAGTAGGGAAGATAGAGAGGGAGAGAGAGAGAGAGAGAGAGAGAACGCGAGGGAGAGATAAGGTAGCGTAGCAGAGGGAACGCGGGTCTCTCTCTCTCTCTCTCGTGCGCGCGCGCTCTCGGTCGATTCTCGCCGAAAATCTCTAACGAAAAAATACGCGCGCGCGCGCGCGCTACCTCTCGTTAACCGCGCTCGCTATGTAATTTACAACGGGCGAGTCGCGGTTGTAATGGCGAGAGGCAGCGCTCTTTTACACCGCGGCGGGAAAAGACAGTAAACTGACAAATATCTCTCGGGGCAGAGGAGCACGGTAACGGCCATGTATGCGTGTGTATGCATGTATGTATGTACGTATGTGTGTGCGGTGGCGGTTATAACCAATGACTATCCAATCGGCGATACGAGAGAGGCGCGCAAAGGAGGGAAAAAGGGCAACGCGCGCGCGCTCGGTTGCGATCGACGAAGAGCGTAATCTCCTTTCTCGAAGGAGATTCGCGCAGGAATACGCACTTCTTTTTCTTTTATCTACCACGACGCAAAAATCCGTCGTGACGCGGTGTTAAGTATACGCGAGAATGACGAGATAGAAAGAGAGAGAGAGAGAGAGATATATGAGGCAATGAGACACGAATGCGAGAGAGCGAGAGCGATAGGCGCGCGCCACCACACACTCGAGACGCGTCATATACACGGGCCGCCGCGAGGTCGGGGCGAGAAAAGCTATCTTTTTATAGCGAACGAGGAAAAATCCGACTTTTCGCCTGGTCACCGAAGTGGCTGCTCCGAAAATCCAGAGCGGATTGCACGAGCCGTCTATCCGGGCTATCACGCCGTTAGCCCGATACGTAGGTGGCGAAATACGGCGAACCGCGATTGTAATGGCCGGCGTGGGGCACGCCACTTGGGCACATACGTGCGCGCTAAAGACGTCACGTCGCAAGAGCAAAGAGCCCGATTTCGCCCGTATTGCCGATGCAGCGCGAACGCGTAACGCGCGCTAACGCCCGAGATGAGTAGGATTACGGGATAATACGGCCTCGGAATCGTCTACATCGCGCGATATCGCCACTTACCGGTGATCTCCTTGCGTAGCTCGTCCTTCGAGATATCGGCCATGGTTGATGCTACTCGCTGTGCGTGCTGCTGCCAACTGAGCCTATGCCGGCTGCGGACTCCCGTAGCGTCCGTTGGGACAGTCCCTGCTGGCAGCGCGCCGATACGCGCGCGCGTAACGCTCCTTCGATCGCGAATAACTCGAAAACGCTCGCGCGAAAACGAATACTATATACACCAAATCGTGTTAGTTTTTTACGGCCGACAAGTTTCTCATGACGCCCCACGCGTAATTCGGCGATCCGAGTGTGCCAATTCGGTCCTCGCTTACGTCTCACGCCGCGTACTTTTCAGCCTGGCTGTACGTCAAGCGGCCGCTCGTGGCTGCCGGTGGCGTCCACAGTACAGTCTGCGCGCGTCGCTCCACGGCGGCGCTTCCGGAAAAATCACTTTCGCCGTGCGATAACTTCGCATCGCGGGCACGAATACGGATACTATATACACCAAATCGGGTCAACTTTTTTTTCTCTACAATTTTCTTATCACGCCCCTGGCGCAATATTGCGATTTAACGGCTCGATACGCGACTTCCCCATGCGAGCCGCGCGAAAGTTTTCCTGCCGACTGTACGAGCGGTAAGCATACTCTGAGTTTCGTAGCGTCGAGCGCCTAGTCGCGTCATATGACAATCAGTATCTGTATGTCCAGGGATATCATTGAAAAAAAAAAAAAAAATGGAAAAAAAATAAAAGAAATGTACACGAAGGTGACGATGACGTCAACATGAAAAACAGAAGCGTTTTTACTTCGCTGTAACATGCGTCCGAATGTTCTGCATGATTTGCTCGATTAATTGTTAATATTTTTATTGAACTATCATATCTCTCGTATCAATGTTCGACGTGTACTTTAAAAGAAAAATATATACATATACACGTATATGTATATAATACATGGAGTAGCATATTTCTCAATGCATGATTTCGTCATGCGACATCTATTCGCATCCCACGTATTTTGAACTAAAAGGTAAATGCAAAGTCATCCTATTCTCAAAATCCTTGAAGTCGATGCGAATAATTATCGTGATTACGCTTTAACAGGTCGGTAAAAACGATTCTGGATATCGAATCTGTAATTCAAATGATAATGGCGAAAACTACAAAAATGAACGATGATGATAAAAAATGAATGATGATTTTCTAGTAAATTTGCTCATTTTTGTAATTTTTGTAATTTTCAACCTCGCACTTAAATTACATAATTGATATACCCTCTGTTCTTCTTGTAATTTTATTAATCGAGCTATGATATATTTCTCTGTATGAAATAATTTGATGTTACCATGTATAATTATTATAGTTTTTAAGGCAAAAGCCAATATTGCTTAGTACAATATTTAATGGCACGAATGATGCGACGAAGAATCTTTTAAGATATATATATGTACATTAATTCATAGAGTCGTTTTTAACTTTGATCGATACATCGAAGAATTTCCGATGAATGGTACAATTTTCTTCATATGATAAGATTAAGGTGATGCCGAACCGTCCTGTTTTACCGGCCATAATAATTACACTTTGCAGACAGAAATTTTTTTATTGGTTACATGAAATAAGAAATCCTTTTCCACGATTAAAGTATATACATCAACAAAGTGGGAACCTTGCGCTTTCACGTTAAAAACGAAGAAAATTTAAAAAATTACAGTTTTTTTACCGGCTTCTTGCGTCAGGTCGTAACAATATTTGCTTAATATAAAAGTTTTGCAGTTTGTATGTACAAAATAAGATAGGTTCCCACTCGGAAATGCATGAAAGAATATAAGTGAACGTTTGAAAATATATTTAGAAGCCTAGTAAAAAACATTTCGGTGTGCAAAATTTTTGAAATGTTTTTTACTAGGCTTCTAAATACATTTTCAAACGTTCACTTATATTCATTCATGCATTTCCAAGTGGGAACCTATCTTATTTTGTACATACAAACTGCCAAAACTTTTATATTAAGCAAATATATAATTATTATGGTCGGTAAAACAGGACGGTCCGGCATCCTCTTAAACTATATTAGTAAAAATATTGTTTGTACAACAGGTATTAGTCATTTTAACTGCAATTAATTAATTAGCCAACGAATTAATTATTTATCTCTTTCACACTTATATCAATTTTTTTATTCAAAGCATATTACTGACACTCGTCGATATTGTAGAAATTTATAGTCGTCGAATTTTTTGTCCGTTTTAACGCCAGATGACGTCAGTGTGCATTTGCATAGTTTGAAATATCGGGAGCGGTAAAGACGCAGCAGGGACTGATAATTCTTACATTATTACATTTTGCTGTTTAGTCGTATATGTATGCACTACGGTATCTTTTCACATGGCACACATGTAACCGTAATCGGCCATGAAAACATCGACTCAACGATTTCTTCGTAAGTGATGCACATTTGAGTTTAATCTTTTTGATATACCGGCTTTTCTATCATATGTTTGTTTTAACTTTTGACTGCAAAACAATCATGCTCAGCCATAGTAACGTTACTCGTTTTATCAAGAAACAACGCTATCTTTCTGATAATATATTGTATAATATAAAGAAGGAGAGAAAGAGAGAAGAGAGAGAGAGAGAGAGAGAGAGAAGATCATTGCGCTCTTGCATTTATTATTGTTAATTTCTTCTCTCTCTCTCTCTCTCTCTCTCTCTCTCTCTCTCTCTCTCTCTATCTCTCTCTCTCTCTCTCTCTCTCTCTCTCTCTCTCTCTCTCTCTCTCTCTCTCTCTCTCTCTCTCTCTCTCTCTCTCTCTCTCTCTCTCTCTCTCTCTCTCTCTCTCTCTCTCTCTCTCTCTCTCTCTCTCTCTCTCTCTCTCTCTCTCTCTAGAGAAGAGAGAGAGAGAGAGAGAGAAGATCATTGCGCTCTTGCATTGGTATTTATTATTGTTAATTTCTTCTCTCTCTCTCTCTTTCTCTCTCTCTCTTTCTCTATCTATCTATCAAACTTGTTTATATGATAAAATTGTAATTAAATCAGCAAAAACATTTTTCGTGTAAATAGTATTAACCATTTGTAGCTTTGAAAGAAATTAATCAGCAAACATTTATATCAATTCTCAATTTTTTCTTTTTTTTCTCTCTCTCTCTTTCTTTCTCTTGAACCTACGGTATGTTACCGACACTGTATCCGGGAATTTTATAGCGATATCGCATTCTCTATTTCACTGTCAGATGTCGTCAGGATATACACTTGCTTGCACAACCGCCCGTTTGAATTTCAAGTTTTAAAGCGTCGGATGTGCGGTGTGGTGTGGTGTGTGTGGGACTTATAGTTCTTGTATTATTATTGCTATTTGGTTGTACCATGACCTCCTTTTACGCGGCGCATGCAACTGTATACTAACCGGCTGTGAAAACATCGACCCGAAATGCAAGCGTCAACGACTTCTTCGTAAGTGATGCGCGTTTGAGTTTTAACCTTTTCGATACGGTTGCGAATCCAGAACAAATATGCTCGCACAGTTGGAACATTCGGCTTAAATTCGACATAAATCGCATGTCCCACACAAATTTTTGTGTTAATTTAACATAATATGAATATCTTGAATGGTGACACTAATATTATGTTAATATTTCAACACAAAAAATAAATGCAAACTTCGTAACGATTTGAAAGAAATTTTGTGTAAAATTAACATATTTGTAATGATAAAATTAACTTGGAAAAATATTATTGACAGTCTGTAATCACTCTCACTTCTTTATAGAATAAGATCAACATTTTTTTGTGTAAACTTTAACATATAAATTCTATCATTAATAATACGGAACATATTGTGTAACATTAAAAATAGGTGCATGTTGTGTTATTTTTATACTTTTTTTCAGTTGTTTTAATAATTTACCATTCGAGTCCAATTAACACAACAGCAATATATTAAATTAACACATGAATGTGCTAAATATTTAATATAAAAATTTTAATCTGCATATTTTTTAACAAGAAAACACAAATTTCCCATTTGTGCGTCATTGAATTATGCTAAAATACCCTCCATACCGAGAAAATTACATTGTTCGGTTTAAGAAATAACATTGTCTTTTTGAATATTATGTAACAAGAAAAAGAGACAAATGCGCACACATACAGAAAAAGAGAGAGAGAGAGAGAGAGAGAAGAAATAATTGCGCTTTTGCATTGGTATTTATCGCCATTTACTTAAATATTGACATTAGACATTATAATGAGAGATATTATACTATCACTATATGCATCAAATTAAAAACTCGAGTGAAATTGTAATAATATTAATTTGCAAATATCGTGTAATGTCTTCTCGAAATGCGATGTATCTATTTGCCGAATAAATGGTCCAATAGATATTATCCCAAAGTTTCTTGGTATTGTCTGTAAAGTTTATTGTCTTGTAAATCGCAGCACAAATGTAACGAGATCGAAAATTTGCCCTTTCTTCCGGTATATTATCGTAATGCCACTTCCTTTTACAGGTATATATATATGTGTGTGTGTGTGTGTGTGTGTAAGTGGCAGCTCTCGAGAGCTCGCGAGGTGGATCAACGTGCGTAGATGCGTGTATGAGTGGCTAAATTCGACGTGCATTGGTTCTCGAGCTGCCGAATGCATACGTATACTATACCATCGGACTCGTCTATGTATAATATATGCACACATGACGCGCACATCACGCGCGTTATACACATGTATATACGCATTTACAGCGCGCCAGTGTCCGACGCCTCGTCACATGTACGTGTCAAAATCAATATTTGACGTCACTAGGTTATGATAACGCCGCGGTGTGTCGCAGCCGTGTATGTGTATGTGTGTATGTATGTGTGCGTATAACATCGAGCGGTGCCGGATTTCGCGGAATTTGCGCGTCGCCCTTGCAACGGACGGTGTAAACAATGCGAAACTTTTCCCATTTCGTCCACGGACACCCGTTGCGTTACGTCGCATTTATTGGACATTTTTGAACACTGTCAGAAATATTGTAGACGCACAACGATATCTCGTCGTAGTCACGGAGCAAGGTGCGATAGCGAAGTGACTTTCGACATTTGTCATCGATGCTTCCAGAACTTTTTGCTGCTTGCCAAATCTGTCGATCGTTTTTGTCACAGTTGCTGCGAACGGCAACGCGCACTCTCGGGATCGCTAATTCTAATTCGGATCAATTGATGGGGCAATTAAATGCGCCGTTGTGCATAATAGTTGAAGAGCGAGAAGTAAAAGCTTTCTTGATTGAAAAATTATGGAAGAACTCTATGTACAAGAAAATCCTTAAGGATGTATATCATGTCAAAACATTGACAAAAGCATGAAAATTTCGTAGACTGTTCTACTATTTCTTTTGAGTATCTGTGCAAAATCTGAGCACAATTCTCTTAACGGTTTAGAAATTATTTAAATTTAAAGTTAGTATTGATTTTTATGAGAAATCGCGTATTGTAGCACTTATTGACAAATTTGACAAGGAAAAAACATTGCCAACGAAATAAAAATTTGCACATATATTAAGAAAACTGTAATAAATATTTGTGTAAAATTTGATTTAGATCCATTTGCTCGTTTAAAAATTATTTACTTAAAATTGTAGAAAAATATTATATTTCTTTCTTTCTCTTTCTGCAAATTATTCTTTTTTTTTTTTTGTTTCTTGCAGTTGATTTCAGGCGGTATTCACGATCAAAAGTTTCTGTCATAAATTAGGAAAAATATTAATTGCAACTATTTTCTTTTACGAAGACGTTAAAAATTATATTATTTTGTGATGCTTTAATTCTTTTTATAATCCGGATTTATTTTTCAAACAATATAAACATAGGAAATATGGTTTTGTTTTTTTCAATTTTGGCAGTTTTTTGCTACTATTGTACAGCCAAAACATCTTTAAAATTCGATAGTATTAAAAACAGCATCACGCAGAGACAATAAAATTTTACGAAAAAGACGTCTACGTGAAAAAGATACATTCAAAAAAATACATTTAATTTCGCGATTTATTTGTTAACATACTATTTATATATAAATATATTTCCTTATTATAATAATCTTAATAAGAGAAAATATTATATTTGTTACAGTTGGATGTATATTAAAATCGCAAATTTTACGTTGGAACACATGTAGCGGATATCTTTTCATTCAAGGGAGCCAGGCAAGTTCATGGTCGCTATTTTCGGCAGAGAGGAGAGAGTAGGATCGAAGCGGTGGCGAAAGTAGTGGAGCCGGGAGGAGTCAGCCGCAGCGAAGTAAAGGTAAAATATAGAACTGCCACCTGTTCGACTGTACCGCTAGCGCATTGTGCCGCGGGCTTTTTCTACTACGAACCAAAAGATTATCATTGCAAACCGAGTTTCACGTCTATATCTCGACTCTTCGTGAAATTTAATTGCTGCATGAAATTGTATGGGAACGTTTTAACAATATTAATTACGCTGTCCATGTTGAGTTCAACGTTGCTGCGTTGATTTTGATTTCAACTATGTAGACGATATGTTCCGATAGTTGCTAAATTCGATGCAACTAAAAATCTCATTGGCGTGTTTTTTCTTGATTATTTAAAAATTCAACATATTTTGATACGCTATATTGTTAATTATTTACATTCTCAATTCGAATAGTTCAAACGTTTTTCGTTCAAGTGCATCGATGATATCAAACTTCTTCTTTTAAATCAATCAATTTTTTAAATTAAAAATTAAACTTCTCTCTCTCTCTCTCTTTCTCCGATTTAGAATATTTTAATGCATCTTTTGCAAGATGTGTTGTTACATACATTCAAGATGGAATATATTGTACTATGTACGCGGATGTAATCAAGAGAACGTCTGTTATCGCCTTTAATTAATCGCGCTCGCTTGTCGATTTGCTTCTTGAGCGAGGACACACGTCTCGTATTATGCATCGTACTACTTTCGTTTCTCTCGCTTCCTCTGCCCTCTCTTTTCCTCCCTACGTTTCTATCATTCCCAGCACTCCGACAATTCTCCACGCATGGCCTGCCACGTTTTTCGTGCCGTTCATGCCTATTTTCCGGCGAGCGATTCGGTCGACGACGCGATTTTCCTGCACGCGGCATATTTCCCTCGCTGGTTATATCCGCAGACATTGCATTGATTCACATATATATCCCGATGTCAGTTTCGATGACGGGTGTAAATCTGTGTCTTATATATACGAAGTCTTACAATATACCAAATAATTCAGAGAAAATTGCCTGAATAAAATTCGGTTTAACGAATTATACGTAGTACTAGTATAACAATAGTAAATACAATTGTCATTATTGAATTTGTTGCAATAATTACTCTCTTTAACATTTATCCAAAATAATTTTGTTACGCAACCTTTCGTTAATAGGCAATTAATTTTAAAAATATTTATATACAATTAAACGTCATTATTATGTAAAAAAAAAAAAAATTGGTTGCTGTGTCCTATATAAAACTGCAAGAGGAGATAAATTATTTAATATCAAAGTCTTTTCAAAGAAAAGTTATTTAAATGAAGCATCTTTTTTCATTGTTTTCATGCGAGGATATACTTTTCCGCGAAATTCGCGCTCGCTCGTGTTTCCACCGTACATATATTGCATCTTCCGGAATGGTACGTGCGTTCGATACGCATACTGCGTACGTACATGCATACACGCGCACTACGATCATATTCTCTTCGATTGTAGAGTCGCTCCAGCAGGCGCGCGCGGTTGATTCTCTCCTCTCGGAAATCTACGTACGCGCGCACGTGGATGTCGATAGTGTTTGTGTGTGCTGCAACACGCATACGGGAATGGTAGACGCAAGTAGACAGGAATCTATCGAGTCTTCTCTATTGCAACAGATGCCTGTTGCTACGCGGCCCGAGCGACGCTATCACGTTTTCGGCTCCTCCGCTTCTCGAACTTCTGCCTGCCTTTGCCTCCGCCGATCCTCCTTCCCCGCCGTCCTCCCCCCTCCCCCCCCGCCGTTACTCACGAAGAAACGTTTTTCGCCCTTTTTGCCACGTGATCGGGCATTGACCCTATCCCCGACGTAGCTCGGGGGTGGAAAGCACGAGGCGCAGCAGCAACGACGACGAGGCGACCGCTTCCTTCCCCTCTCATTTTTTCCTCTCTCTTTCTTTTTTCTCTCTCTCTCTCTCTCTCTCTTCCTCTTTTTTTTCTCTACGGAAGACAATACTTTCGAACCAACGAAGCGATAACAATCGTGATCTCGGGATAAATGGTACTAATCGGTGATTAATTGATTGTGTAGTTTACGGTCGAACGGCCTTTGCTGCTTTATGCGAGCGATTCGAGCGTCGTTAATTATGCGAAGTGGACTTTAGGAATGACGAAAAAGTCGACGAAAATATAACCCTTTCTTTTATATATCGAAACAACCAACGTTTTTGCTCGAAAGATCAAATTATATATGATGCCGCGTATATTATACCGTATCGTAAGATTTTGCTAATTAGCAGATGGTAATTATAATTATGATTATGACTAAGGAATATACGTATTGGTGGAGGGATGGGAGAAGACGAAACGTACATTATTTTATAGCCAGTTACGTAACTAATTACTTTAACGCGTCGATATTGTCGAGCAAGTCTGCAGAATTTTATCCGTCGAAAATTACTTCTTCATAATCTTGTGCATAACCTGCACTAATATATTTAGAATTTCTGGAAGCTGCTATCTCCTCCCCTTACGCAATACTGCGGAAATAGATCCGCATTTGGAAGTGAAACAGAATCTACCATTCGAGTGGAAGACATAACACACTTTTACGTAATAGTATTTCATTGTATTATTATAGATTACATATAATTCTGAGAATGCACAATTCAGATCACATTCTTCAAAGTTTGTTATCCAATAATAATGTTCTTGCGCAATATAGTAAGTTTAAATTATTTTAAACCGATAATCGCATGCAAGATTATAAATGTGGTCGTTAAGCGAATTTTCCTCCGCCAGGTCCATAGAATATATATTATAATAAAAGAACTTCTTCATATCTTTTACAGAGATATCAATAATATATGCATATAGAATACAATGATCTATTATTTTGATGTAAATTTTACTTCTGTGAAGGGACTGTTATTAGTTATTACATTCGTTAGACATATATTGCTTACATTCTTATGATGGATTTTATCATATGTTTATATTGATAGACACGTTTGTCTGTATTCGTATATAATTAATTGTACTTCAAATATAAAGGTATAATTTTTTTTTGTATGCTATATATGCAGGTTCAAAATTATTACAATTTGATAAAAGATATAAATATTTTTTATTCAGTCACAACAAAAATAGGAAATAAAAAAGATTTATCACAAATTATTGATAAACATTTTTATACTTTCTACTTTTTTTAAAACATAATAATCGAAGTTAGTTTTACACTTGAGAATTTCTCCATATCTGATAATAAATAGTCCAAGCGTAAAAGGATTAATACGCAAGTACACTTGAACATGAGATCGGAGAAAAAGATCGCTTGCATTAGATGAAATCGAACGTGTCGTTCAGCGGCGTCTTGGCGGAATACGGTCTGCGCCGAGGGATCAAGCCGGATCATCCTTAGCCGGGCGATGCAATCTAAGGATCGGGCTCGCATTTCGAGATCGAGCGCGTCTGTAAAAGAAAAAGACAAAGGAAAAGAAAGAGAGAGGTCCGTTCGGTTCCGCTGCTGAAGCTGCCGTGCCGTGCCGCGCCAAGAGAAAGAAAAGAGTGTAGCGTCCCGCGCGCGTAATTAAGGACCAAAGCGATGGGTATGGGGCGGAAAAGCCGGAGGAAGAGAGAAGACGAAGGGGCGGTATTTGAGGAGAGGGTGTATGGGGTGTAGACATCGATCGGGCCAGGCATGTGTAAGCGTGCACGTGCACGCGCATCGTACGTGTACACACAACCACCATACGCCGCCACCTGGCCAGTCCCGCGTAGGCAAGATAGTGCGAGTCGCCGGAACAAGGGCGGCGTGAAGGCGAAGCGAGGGGATGCGGAGGAAGTGTAGCGGCCAGAGCCGCGCGAGGTGGAGAGGCCGAGGGTGGTTCGGTTGGCCCCGAACCTACCCTAAATCGAAGAAGCATGGGACACACCCTGGAAGAAAATGGGAAGTGGGGTAGTTGGCGTGGGTGGCCGGGCAAGGATGGGATACCTCCGTACGCTTTCTCTCTCTCTCTCTTTCTTGGGCTCGGTTTCGGTCTCGCTCTCGCTCTCGTTCTCTTTCTCGCCTTCGTCTCATCTCCCCCCTCCCTCGTACTCGATGCTCTCCTGCTGCCTCATCCTTCCTCTTCCACCTGCCGGCCCTGCTGCTCATCCTCCTCCACCATCCCCCTCCTTCCACCGATATCTTATTTCGTTCTCTCACCCTTCTCTCACCACGAGCGAGTTGCCTCACCCCACCGAACTGACTGAAGGCGCCCTCGTCCCCCTGTCCTCCGTTTTCAATCCCGCGCCCTCCGCCGTCGACACGCCAATGAGGGCTACCCCGCGACAGGGCAGGTGTGCGAGCCACAATGGAAGACGCTATAGAGATAGCCGCGTAAAGAGAGAGGATCGATGGACCCGCGAGTAGCCGCGAGCGAGAGAGCGACTGATGCTTTTCCCGCGCAACGAAGAAAGAGAAGATCGCGGAGAAGAGTTTGCGAACGGAAGCGAGAGGGCGGAAGAAAGAACGAGGACGGACAAAAATAGAAAGAAACAGAGACGGAAAGAAAGCTCGAGAAGGAAGAACACCGCGAGAAAAAGCGTGGAGCGAGAATGAGAAAGGAAGAAAGACAGATAAAGGAGGAAAGAGAGACAGAGAAAGAAAAAGGCGGGGGGTGGGGGAGAGGAAAGGAGAGAGGAACGGAGGAAAGGAGCAAGACGAAAGGAACGAGATGATGTGCACGAGAGCGCCAGAGAAAGAGGCAGAACAGGACAGTGAGCGGCGGCAACGCCCATTTTTTGATAAGCTAGTTACCCGCCGCCACCTTGCCGCGAAAGGGGCAGAGGGTAGCTCTCCGGCACAAGGCGGCAAGAGGCGCGGTGGCAGGAGGTCGAGTTGGCCGAAGGGTGCTGGAGGGAAGGGGGGGGGGGGGGGGGACGGGGGAGAGCAAGTAGGAGCGAAGAGGGGTGGTACAGGGAGAGGAAGGTTGGGTACGCGGCGGGTGTCGGGTTCTACGGAGATCAATAACTGCATAAAAATAAAGTGAGGCTCTGGCCCGCTACCTTTAACCCACCGCCCCCCCCTCCCCCTCTCCCAACCGAGTTCTC